CTATGGCAAAAAACCTTTAAAAAAAAAAAGTGTTTTTCAAGGTGAGAAGGTAGGATGTATTTTGTGTTTACTAACTTGACTTATGTTTATATACTATAGAGAGCAATCTGTACTCTTGCTGGGGCCCTCGAGGATGTTGGGAGTTGCCCCGGTGGTAGCTGGTTTGTGGTTGTGGCCTTTGCACAGGCCAGTCCCTCTGCTCCGATATTCACAAAGGCTTTTCTCCTTAACCTCTGTATCACTCTTTCTACTCCTTTACCTGCCTTTAATACATCGCCTTTTTCACCAGCTAGCCTTGTGCCCTATCTCCAAAAGCAAGGATTTTTAGGTGTCTTGTTTGCCTCTACATCCCTTGTACTCAAAGCAGGGCTGAGCAAACAGTCGATTCACTCAAATCTCTTCAATTTAACATAATTCCAGTGACATTCTACTCAGTCTTCCGCCCACATAACACTTGCCACAGAGGCAACTTTGAAATCTGAAAACACCATTTAATTTTGCACAAAACCTCTCAACTTGACAGAACACAACCAACAATAGACATCCCCGTGTCTAAATGAAAAAATAATAAAGCCCCTTACCAAATGAAAACAAGAGAGGTACCCATCTATCCCCAGTACACCAACAGTGTCCCACACAGCTAACTAGTTGCTCCAGGGCTCTCGTCAAGAGAACCATCACCCTGGCCTGGGGGAGGGCTTACTTTTCTTGACCAAGAACTTCAGGCCACAGAACAGCCACAGTAGCATGTGGCCTTCTGGTGCTGGGCCTTCTTCACATCGGCCATTGCCTCTTGGGCCCTCTGGATCTCATGGACAAGCAGGGAAAAGGCCTCCTCCACACCTTGCCGTGTCTTGGCTGAGGTCTCCACGAAGGGGGCTCCCCAGCTCTGGGCGAGGGCTGCAGCAGCGGCATGAGTATCTCCAGCGGTGGACACGAGGTCACACTTGTTGCCCACAAGGACGAGGGGCTGGGTGTGGCGAGAGCCCCAGGTGGCCCGCATCTGCTGCAGCTGGGTCAGAGATGAGGGGTCATCAAGAGCGAAGACGCCCAGCATGCCATCACTAATAGCTACACACTGGTCACGCAAGGAGCCATGAATGGTCTGCCCTGCCGTGTCCAGCACGTTCAGAATGCAGCCGCCACGGCCCAGGGCCATTTCCTTCCAGTAGGAATCCTGGATGGTGGGGTCGTGGTCCTCCACGAAGCACTGGTAGTTCAGCTGGATGACTAGAGCACTCTTGCCCACACCACTCGCACCAACCACCACTGCCTTGTACTCTGGTAGCTGCTTGTCCACTGGACTCCCACAGTGCGCCTGAGCCTGGGAACTCTCCTCCTGGGAGCTAGGGTTCTCTGCATTCAGGCCTAGGTCAGAGATGCTTGACTTTGTTGGTAGTGCCATGCTCCCCAATGGGCAGCTCTGGGGAGTGATGTGGATGGCAGGCTCTGCCAGTGGGAAGAGAAGACAGTAGAGGAAAGGTTAGGGGAGCCTGGACAGTAGAGGAGAGGTCAGGGGAGCCCGTGTGGGGGCAGGGACAGTTGGGCTCAACGTTCTCTGAGTGCCTAGTGCGTGCTGATACCTCCTAACCTGCTGTCAGCATTAGGTTGCTTTCTCCCTTCCTGCTCCCTTCTCCCCCACCCCCTTCCTTCTAGGACATGAACTCAGTGAAGGCAGTTTTTCCAAACACCTTCAGGTAGATATCATTTATATCTCATAAAGTGCACCAGTTGAAGTGTGCAATTTAATGTATGTTAATACAGCCACAGAGTTGTGCAACCATCACCATAATTGAATTTTAGAACATTTTCACAACCCTGAAAAGAATCCTATTAGCAATCCTTCCCCATTGTGAAAACAGAGTGGAATTTTGTCCGTTTCAGTAGCCAGTGAACCCCCCTAGCCCAGCAGGTGCCTGACAGTTTGTGCTCTGAATATTCCTGCCTCCAGGGGGGTTAAGTCCTAAAAGGTGGAGACTGATAATAAAACCAAATGAATATGTAAATCACATAGTTGGTTAGCCATTATCATTAGAATTTCATCTTTGCCGATTATTCAACATATATTTTTTTGGTATCAAGTTTTTGCTGTAGTGCTAGTGCGCTTGCTTGCCCAGGGAGGGAGAGAGAAAAAGAAATGAGAGAGAGAGAATAAGACAGAGAGAGAGAGAGAAAGAAAGTGAGAAATCACCTCCCAGGGGGGTATGGCCACCCGCAATCCATTCTCCGTATTTACTGAGAATCAATTGTATGGTAAGAACAGAAAGAGGGACCAAAGAGAGACAACCCCCCCAGTGTTACATTCTAGTCCCAGTGACAGACAACAAACAAGATAAGTAAGTAAAATAGATTTCAGTAGTAGGTGAGAAGCATGCAGAAGATGTTCTTTAATGTTAGGCTTTTAAATTATAATTTAGTTGTTCTGCATTAATTCAAGACTCCCTGCATGCCAGGCATTGTGGCATGGCAGCAACAAAATAAATGGAAGTCCCTGCCCTTCTGAGGATTCCATTCTGGCAGTGAAAAAGAGGCAATAAACAAGACAAGCAAGGAAATGATCTTGCGCGTTGGAAGAGGATGGGCACACAGCAGGTGCTCAATTAGTGTTAGCTATTAATAGCAAATCACCATTAACTCATTGAACACACCTCTAGGTCCTTCAGTTTGGGAAGCCCCTGGCTACATGAGCTGTAATGGCTGTTATCACAACTTTCTGGAAACCTGGAGCAGTGTCATTGTGGGCGCTGATGGCAGGTTCAAGGTGTTTGTGAAAGATTCTGTTGAGTTTGGGATCTGAAAATCAGGGTTTGGGGGCAAGGTCCCAGATTGGAGTTCAACTGCGGGATCCTCAGCCCAAAGGGATCCCTGAAAATGGTCACAAGATGTGCTTGCCCAGAAAGAGGGGGCCTGGAATAAGTAGAGGTAGGCAGAGGACAGAAATTTGGGGGTCCCCTAAGTTTGGGACAGAAAGGGAAAGAAAAGATGTGAAGGCAGGCTTTGGGGAGAAGCAAGGGCAGCAGCGGTGATGAGGCGGCCTTCGGCTGGGTGCGGGCTGGCCTGGGCCGCCGCAGCAGTGCGTGGTGGGAGAGGGCGGAATCGGGTATATTCGAAGGTGAAACTAACTGGTTTTCTATAGAGATTAAGAAGTAGGAGAGGGGGGGCCGACAGGTGGCGCAGTGGTAAAGAGTGCTGAACTCCCGCATGGCCGACTGCGGTTTAAGTACCGGGCCTGGTGGGTTGCTTTCTCACTTTCTCCTCTTCTTCTCTACCCCTCTCCCGTCAAATGAAAATAAATTATTAAATAAAGCTAAATAAAATAATTCTTTGAAAACGAAAAAGCAGGAGAGGAGTCAGGGAGGGCTCTTAAATTTGTAGTCGGAGCAGCTAGAAACTCCGGAGTGCCCTTACCCGAAGTAGGAGAGGTATGAGAAGGGCTCCCCACCCCTTCTTGGGAAGGCGACCAGGACGGGGAGAATGGCCATAAGATCGAAAGGTAGGACCTTTGGAGAGCTCAGTGAGCGCAGGTGATCATCCCGAGTGCCCTAATCACCTGCTCTTCCTGGCACCCGTGGGAGGCAGAGGGTGATGGTCCCTACGCCTGCTTTGTCTGTGAGGACTAGCGAGGCTCAGAAAAGCGAGGTGGCAGGGAGTGCCCCGAGGTCAAACGGAGATACTACCGAGCGGGGTCCCAGCCTACGGAACCACTTGCGGGGGCAAGGGTTGGTGGAGTCGAGGCCCTGAGACTCTGTGGCCGCCCACTTTCAACTGCTTGGAGGCTGCGCCGGCTTTACCTAGTCGACCCAAGAGGATGAGTTGAGGGGCGGGGAGGGTCGCTTCAAATGTGAGGCCTTATGGTTCCCCCTTTCATGGCTAGCCTGGAAAACCTCGCTAGGGCGCACTTTTCAGGGAACACATAAGGCTTGGGGTGGCGAAGAGGTTACCCTCCAAAGCTATGACCCTGCGCCTACTTCTACTTTGGCCTCAGTCTGATCTGTGTTTCCCTATTCTTTCGTGACCCATCCTGAATCCTGAGAGAAGCAGCCCCGCTACCCGCAAAAGGCCCGGCGACTGGGGGGTTCGCTCACCCGAAAGTAAGGAAGCGGTCTGGCGGAGTCCCCTGAACTTCAGCGCGGAACCCCCACCCCGGGAGTGCAGGGGTCATGACCCGGGCAGCCCGCCCAGCACGTGCGCAAAGGCTGCCAGACCTCCCTGTGTGCCCCGTGCCCCGGTGCCCCCGTGCCCCCTGCCTCGTGCGGCGCCTCTCCCTGGCCTTGCTTCTGGCCGAAATGTGATTTCTCTGTGTGTGTAGGGGCACGTCAGATTTTGATCTGGATGGCCAGGTTTTGGAAACCTTTTTGTGAAGCTTCTTTGAGACCTTGAAGCCTTGCCCCTTTGCCCCTTTAACCTGGCTGTGGTGGCTCCCAAGAGGGCCGTTCCTGTTCCTTGATAGAATGGCAGGGGAGGGGTTGTTCTCTCCGGGAAGAAATAATGAGATTTGGGGGTACATGTATGTACCAAGCTCAAAACTCTCTCAGACTCCCTTGCAGCTATGACAATCATATAATACATTGCTTTTTTTTTTTCTTTTTTTTTGGAGAGGTTTTTGCTATAGGGCACTGTGAGCTCGCGCGACAGAGACATAGAGACAGAAAGCGAGAAATCACCCCCCAGGGGGGATGGTCATGCCGCAATCCTTTCTCCATTCTCCTCTTGGGATCTTGGGCACGCACGCACACGCACCTGGTATGAGTTTTAAGCCACCGGGTCCGGGAC